CATGCACCTTATGTTATGCTTACGATTCTATATGTGAAACTAGTTTTACATTATGACATGAGATCCTCCAGGATTGCCTCTAGCTCGTCTTTTCTAAATGGCAAGCTCAGCAACTCTGTTCCCAGAGCATCCTTCATACTCGTGATTATTTGATGGTCGTGGAATCTAGTCTTCGTTAGTCGTGATTGTGTAACGGAATGTGGCAATGAACGTACTCTTTCAGCAGGGTTCGGAAAGCCATCTCGGAACTGCAGATGAACTCTTCCACGGCCTTGTTGTATACCATTCGATACTCAACACCAATTGGCTCATCGCCGCTGTCACCCTCCTCCTCAATAGCAATGAGCACCTCACCCACCAAGAGGCGGAACAGATTCTTGGCGTTCTCGGGCAAACTTCGTAAAACAAACGCAACGCCTTCTCTACCATTGACTCGGTGAGCATTCCTCCCGAGAAGCTCATGTACCTCATCCACAACATCCAGCTCGGCACCATATGGGGCAAAGGTCGTACAGTCGTGGAACGCCATGTTAAACGCAGATCGCACACCTATGTCCCACAGTAGTGCAAAGTCTGGTGTATCAGCTGAGCACACCAGCCTTATTTGAGGATGCGCCGCGAGTTGCGCCAGAGCAGATTGCGAGCCAGATTTACGAAGAGGCGCTGCATCGATTGAGTTGACAATCAGAGTCAACATTGATGACGTTGTAGCGAGGTGTGAAAGAATGGCAGGGACCATAACGGCAGGTTGCGTTAAAGGAATGCGGTGACTCGGGTCAACGGCCGCACCAATTGTGCTCAATACCTCGCGCATAGTGGTATTATGGGCGTAACCATTGATTATAACAATCTTGTCCCCCTTCTCCTTCCTAATGGAAGAGTACAAGTGACCAGCAAGCTTGTGCAGGAGACGTCGCTTCGAACCATAACCATATAGACACAAACTGAACCCTTGCGATAACTCGAACGCCCATTGCGGGAATGATTCGGCATGTAGACTCTCCAGAATCTCGATATCGGCCTCATGGTGATCCTGGGTTTCTCGCATAATAGTAAAGTATTCATCGTGTGTAAGTAAAGCGAGTGATCCCAGAGTATTATTCGAAGTCTTGGCCCGCCCAGGTTTGTTGTGCGCAAAGTATAATTCGTGAGGAGGCAGGTCGCGAGGAGGAGTAGGAGATCGAGCTGGTGCTTTCCGCTGAGCTTTCCGGCGAGGCGTTGATTTCGAAGGTGTCGCAGCTTCATCTACACCTGATGCTTCTGTGGAAATGGCAATACCGCCCTCGAGCGCTTCTTCGTCTTCACTAGATTCGTAGATTTGCTGCGCAAGGCCATCGTATTCCTCCTCGTCTGTAAGGTCGTCGCCAACAACGTGTTCTATGAGAGCTCTCGTACTCTTTCGCTTGGCAGATCTGTCTGCTCCTCCAGGTGTTCCTCCATTCAAAGCAATTGGCGTTTTCTTGTTTGGCGTTTCAAAAAGCGCAGTACGGTTTGCTTTCGGTGTAGGAGTTTCGCCATTCACAGGCTTCTTTGGTGGTCTCCCTCGTCGTTTTGGTGCAGGTTTAGGGGTTTCATCTGGGTCGACTCTTGATAATGATTCGGATGAGCTTGCATCACTGTCTCCTATCACATCTCGGTGTATAACCTCTGTATGACCATTCGTTCCGGTGGTGACTTTGGGTGAATGATGAGCTGCACTTCGTTGTCGCTTGACTGGTGATGTTTCGAGGTCGCTTTCGGGAATGGATTCGAGATCTTGGTGCCCTCGCTTTCGTAAGGATCTTGGAGGATCTTGTTGAGTATCAGGCTCAGGCGCTGCCTTTTTTGGAGGCATTATGTGATCGCTGAGGCTGGCGGAATCACTTGAGTTCCCCGAAAGCCAAACTTTTTGTAATTGTTGATGTAGTTTCTAGAATGGGTAAAATAAATACAGAGCCCAGGCGCGTGGTAACTACTGGTAACGCGCCTGTTAAATTGGCAGTGGCGCCAGTGGCGTCAATGCATGTGGCGCGAGCTTCGCTTTCAACGACAATTCATTGTTTCTTCACATGCTCCCACAAGCTATACGTATCTGTACCTAGACAACGGAACGATGCTGAATTTAAATCTATCAGCTTCATTAAATATCACAAGGCTTATCTTTAAGCCGAGTCTGTGTCTGCCTCATCACACAGTCTCAACTTTCAATGACTTGCCAATTCCTCTTGAAAAAGGCTTGCAAAAAGATGGTCGCAAAGTAGAGATCAAGGCTGTTGTTCTCGACAAAGACGATTGCTTTGCTTATCCTGATAGTATTGAAGTGTATGATTCTTACAAGGTGCCTATAATTTGTGCTCACTCTGATACTCAAGATTGTCTGCTAAACTGAAGCATAGTCTCACTTTGAAAAGCTAAGGTTGGCTTATCCTGGTCGGAAGTTACTTGTGGTGTCAAATACTGCTGGAGCAACGTCGTGGGATAAGAATTTGAAGCTAGCTGCTGAGGTTGAAGAGAACACAGGAATCACTGTGCTCTCGCACTCGGTCAAGAAGCCAGGTTGTGGCCAGGAGATCATGGAATACTTCAAAAAGCACCCAGAGACAGGAGTGACGGACCCTGCACACGTTGCATTCGTCGGTGATAGACTGACTACCGACATGATGCTTGCAAATATGACAGGAGGGTGGGGGTTCTGGGTGAAAGACGGAGTAATACCTCTGGAAAAGAAGAGTATCGTGAGTCGCTGTCTGCCCCTCAACAGACGATAGATCGTCATAAGGCAACAACTGGCAACAGCTGACAACACTAGTTCTCGAAATTGGAACGACCTTTAGCTTCTTTCCTCTTTGCTAGAGGTATTTATGCTCCTGAACCCCGCAGCATCTTTGAGGAGTAGCTATGTCGGAAGGCGTCGAAGGGAAAAGTCAGAGTCAAACGGCTCGTCTGAACTTCTACGTTTACATTGAATCACAATGCGATCTACGCCATTGTCATTCATTCAGTACGGGCACCTGACCTTTGATAAGCATTCGCATTGCTTGAGCAGACAATGCAAACGGGACTGAATCACTCATCTATTGTCCTGAGAGTCTATAAAGCTGCGTTCGTGATCTTCATTCTTTACTCTTATCTTCTTTCCGCACAGCCATTCTATAAAGGCATCGTCGCTTGCCTATATACTTTGCCTCTCGTTCTTCGTTATTGTCACCTTTTTATATCCTTGTTTCTTCACTCTCCTCTCTTCTTTGGTCCACCCTAACATTGAACCTCAACCATGGGTGGAAAGACTTGGTCTGTAGACGAAGAACGAATGCTCTGGGAAGTCGTTGTTCCTCGCTCAGTAGCTGCTGCTAACCCAGCTGATCGACGCATGAGCTGGGAGCAATGCGCTCGATATATGAACGACAATGCTGGTGTCATCGCTCAACGTAACTATACTAAGAACATGTTATGTGAGTTACCCATGCGCTTCCAATACATTCTCAAGTCTCTGCTGACTCTGATAGACGAGCATCACTACCAGAACATTGTCAAGGGCGGTTCTTCTCCGAATGCTGGTCCATTTGTTGAACGGCACCTTCGCTTGATCGGTTAGTCTTGCAGGATCCCCCCCTCGGTTCCAAGGTCCTAACAGATAACAGAATGGTACAAGAACCATAGATCGCCTCCACCGGCTAGTCCCCCTCCAGTTTCGCGAGCCCCTCGAAACCCTGAGCTTACTGCGCTTTTGAGCCGGCAGTCGAAGCCCAAGAGACGACGGGCCAAGAATACAGCCAAGACTCGAGTCGTGGAGAATCGAAATGCACTGCCCACCATCAATGAGGATGGACCTGGACCTGGACCTGGGCCGAGTGGCTCAGGCACATCCAACGTCCCATATGCTCGTTCATTCGCCCCTTACGAAGGGACTCAGCAGCAGTTTTTAGAAGAAAACCAGTCGGTCCCCGTTGACCCAAGGGCGAAGTATGCGCTCGACTTTCGCCCGCTGCCTAGAACAGTGCGCGCTGCTCGACCAGGAGGCAACTTCTTGAGCCGGCCCATGGAGAAAGTGGAAGGTGGACTTTGGCGCCTCGTCCCTGAAACTCGAGAGAATGAGAACCCTGGAGATTCGATGTCCATGGTCCCCCGAAACAGCAATGTCCAGGCTCGACATTCCAGGGCGCAGGAGGAAAGCTCATGGACTCGGTCATATACTGTGGCCCCTCAGCAGGTCCCTCAGGGACCTCAGGGAGGTGGCCTACCTTCTATCCGTCAAGCATTTCCTTTCATCAACTTTAGGCAGCCTCTGAACTCAGCTCCTTTTCATGAGACATCACATCAAACTGGCAAGCGCGGCTACAGTGGTGGTCAGGACCAGAATCAGGCCCCTAAGCGACGAAGACTTCCTGATCACCCTGTCCCCCGTCAAAGCAATTCGCAGCAGCCGAACCAGAGAAAATAAATCATGGATGATCATGAATGACGGTTTGGCTCACAGTAAGGCAAGACGACGCAGACATTGGACGAGGACGAGTGAGAGATTGAGAGTGGGACGGAAAGTGTAGCTAAAGGGGACGCGTGAAGGGACTTTTCTTTTGAGCTTTGAAGATTTGTGGCTAGGAGGATGATTGCTGAGACGACTAGAGGAAATGTATTATTAGAGCGACAACTTGAAGGCAGCAGTTTGTTATGACAGCCTTGTTGATATTTGAAACAAACAACAGTTTTGAAATCCCTAGAATTCATTGTCCCATAAGCCAGTGACCCCAATCTCGTTTGATTCTTTGCTTGTTCTTCTACCTCTTCTAATAGTCTAACTACCTACCTAGCTTTTGAAACATTAAGCTGATTGTCTGCTCGGGCCCGCCGAAGTCGGCATGGTGGGGCCGGATCTCCGACAACGCCCCCCGAAAAGCGGTGGCCCTTGGCAGAAATAATCCTCCCGAAAGATTTCCCCAGAGAATCTCAAGTCCATCCGGCCATAGCTAAACCCGCCCTCCCACTTTAGCGACCCGTGTTCCTCTTCTCATCTCATCACAACCATGAACTTCCCGGGAATGACACCTACAGGCGGCGCCGCCGCACCGCCTGCGATCGGCGGACCTCAAGATCCCAACGTCAAAGCTGTACGTGGATGCGCAACTTACTCGGAATTTCGCGGGGCGCATAGCTGACTCCGAGAAATATAGGTTCAATCTGCGATGGAGTCTTGTTTTGGAAAGTCAGTCATGTCGGGAGTTATGGGATTCGGTATGGGTGGTTTATTTGGAATGTTCATGGCCTCTGTACGTTCTTTGGCGAACTTAGAGTCGTTATCCCAAGCTAATATCTCTGCTAGATGTCCTACGATACACCTTATCACACAGCCGCCCCCGGTAGCCCACAAAGTACAATCACATCGCTCCCTCTCAAGCAACAACTCAAGATCGGATTCAAGGATATGGGAACACGATCATGGTCCATGGCTAAGAACTTCGGAAAAGTTGGTGCTTTGTACTCTGGCGTAGAGTGCGGCATCGAGGGCCTGCGAGCAAAGAACGATCTTACCAACAGTGTCGCCGCCGGATGTTTGACGGGTGGCATTCTGGCCAAGAATGCTGGCCCTCAAGCTGCTGCAGGTGGCTGTCTGGCTTTCGCAGCATTCAGTGCGGCTATCGATGCATACATGCGATCACCACCCAAGGATGACTAAGTGCTAGCAGCTGATATAATCAAAATTGGGGTTCGAATGAGTGGGTTAAGAGATGTATAAATACGCTTGGCTTTTCTACAGACGTGGGAGTTACGGTAATCATATTTCTGGAGCATAGGGCGGCGTTGGGAGACGGACTCCTCTCTTTTGGAATGTTTGCCACTGTACGTACGAAGGTGGTATAAGGATAGATATGGAGATGACGATATGGCAATTGTATTAACAGGTATTTTAAGACCCAAGCTTCATAGAGGAGCTGCTCATGTAGAATCCACGAGTCTACACTGTAATCTTAGCAAAAGAATTTATGTCTGCAATGACTGCCTATCCCATAATTGCAACTTGAAGACCCCTTGTTCTTAACGCCGCGCTTTCAAAAGAGCAAATAGCACACGATCTGCTTTGGACAAACTCAGGCTTGACTTGCCTGGTATACTTGGAAAGTCCCAAACTCCCAATAAGCATTCTCAAATGCTTCAGGGTTGTTGGCGACGAGATCAGTGCATTTGCCCGAACCTGAAAATAGTCAGCATTATGTCCTTACAAGTGTATGAGCCAACTTACATCCAGAGTCGTCCCAAACGTGATAAACAAGGCTACCACACAGGTCTATATTGGCAATGATGCTCTGGTTCTTGAAATGCGTGCCAATGTCGCAATGCGTGTTGGGAAAGTCGGCGACAGCAGTACCCCAAGTGTCGGGTTTTGGGCTGTTTCCTTTGATATCTGACGGTATAGAGTCTCTACCGAACTGCCACATGCGGATGCCTTCATGCCGCCATTCAACCGCCATCACGCCTCCTCCATTCTTGTTGAAGACGGTGCCGTATCCCGAAGGCTTTGAAAGAACGCCACAGCCTGCATTATCGTCCTTTTCGTGGTTGCAGTTTTTCTGTAGTGTCTTGCCTGTTTCCTCGCGGCGTACGTCCATTGAGCAGTCGCCAGTAGTGTGCAAGGTCATTTGATTCCCGTCTTCAGCTTTGTTTGTCGACTCCATCACATCAATTTCTCCATGGTTTGGCCAGTTGTAACGGTCAGTAAGCCAAAGGGCCGGCCACGTGCCGCAGCCATAGGGAGTATGCTTGACATCGAAGATGAAGAGACCGTTCTCATATGTCTTTTTGGACTCGATTCGGACAGAAAAGCGACCCGTAGACGCATTAGGCTTGCTGCTGGGGCCTACAGAAGTGTCGACTCGGAGAACGGCAGTGCTGGGCGTAACATATGTGAGATTCTGGAGAGTATTAGGTGAATATGATCCAAAGCAGTAACTTGTGTTGTGGCCGGTAGGGGCTTCTTACAAGTGCTTTTGCTTGCGCTTCTGGAACGTAATGAACGAAGCCCTCAGCTGAAAAGAAGCGTTAGTATTAAAACCCTTGAAATCGAAAATAGTTCTTACTGGGGTCGTATCCTGTGAAATAGTTGAACTGGTCAAAGAAGGATTCACCTCCATCTGGGCGGTGGTTAGCGGGTCTTTGTATGTCCAAGTTGAGGATGACAGGCACTTACATGTATCTTTCAAGCTGTACGATAATGGTGTGTAGTCAGGATACATATTCTTTCTAGCTCTCTCCACAGCGACGGCGACAATTATTATCACTATAACAATGATGACTATGATAATAGCGGCCCAGATTCTCTTTCGCCAGTACCGAGGATTCCACCATGGCATTGATGAGCTCGCATGGCGGATTTCCTGGCCTTTGCGAGCCAGCATTACCTCATCGTAAATTGGAGGTATCTCTCCAGGTTTGGCGCCAGATGAATACATCGACATGTTGGTGTAGTTGAAAGTGGAAGAACTGGGGCGATGGCTGAGTGAAGAGTTGGAGTTGAAGTTGCCTGCAGCAAGTGATGAATGACAAGAGGAGAAGAAAAGCAAAGAGAAGGGAGTTGATGATAGATAGATAGAATGGAATGCAGTGCAGTGCAGAAGAGATGTGTGTTGATGGAGATGGGTTGTCTCAGCCTCGAGTGCACCCTCTCAGAAGCATATGAATCAAGTTTCCTTTTTTATTCACAGGAAGGAGGAAATGAGGAATGAATTTCTGTTGAAACATTTGAAGGAGCAAAGCAGCTCTCTTCCTTCCTTCAATACTGTGCAGCTGCAGATAGGTCTAGTAGTCGGGCGCACATCCAGGGCAGCCCGTGAGCGATTCACAGTCCCTTTCTATAAGACTTCCTCCCAAAGTTTATTGGGCATTTGACGTAGGTATCATGAGCAGCAAATCACTATAAAAAGGGTACTTGACGGCACTCGCGCCGCCGCCCATGGGGCATCCTCCACATGCCGTCTTTCCGATCTGCCTACTCCCTAGCGCGTGCATCCTTTTGGTGTGGGCTGAAGTTCGATGGCTGACGATGATATCCGCGTAGCCGTGCAGCCGTGTTAGCCACGAGAAATGGGAGGGTTCAGGGGTAAACACGAGAGACCACAAACAAAAAACCACTGATAAGTCAGAGTCTCAGCGCCGTTTCCGAAATTACTACAAAAATAGTTCGTGTTGATTGCATTATCTACCTGTCTCAAGGGATAGCTTGAACTCGGGAAATGGCTCCTAGGAGATAGCGAGACGCGTAATCTGCAGACCAATAACTGACAGAAGCGTGTAAACTCAACACTATCATGAATCGATGACCGGAAATACGGCCTGGCAACGCGTCATTTTACTGATCTCTTTATTTATAATCTCCACTGAAAAGAACGAGCTCGAATTATTTAAGTTCGAGAGCTCAGTGGACATTGTCTTATTTTGGTGCCGACGCTAACAGAAATTGAGGATAACTTACACAGGCATGAGACGTACGAGACATGCCGTGAAGCCGAGAGCCACTTACAACCTGTCCGAGGCCTGAGGGGATAGAAGATGATGTTGTCGCGTGCAAGGGACTCGGCTACCATTATAACATAACTCCCTAACCACTTACAGATAGTTCCTTTAGCTCCTATAAGAAGTATCAAGGGAGCGTTTGAAATGCTACCAAGTATCACGTCTCGCTCACTTATGGTCGATGTAATGTAACATGTGAAGATCTCTGATTCCAAATCCCACTCCGCCAGCAGATCCTCGACTCTAATGACGATAAATTTCGTACAAAAGACATCCAATGCCTTCCAGCATCCGTGGCTTAGACAGTCAATGTCTTGGAAATAGCCACAACAGCACAAAGCCATGCCCCAACATCAGTCGTCAACATCCTCAAATTGTTCACAGCCAACCATCTCTCCAGCATCCCAACATTGTCCGTCCCTTCAACAGCGCAGTTATCCTCCCACAGCGCCCTGAGCTTCCACGCTACAGCAGGCACATATGCAAGATGTCCCAGCGCCAGTGCAGCAGACCAGCCGTACCAGAATAGTGAGCCGCGAGACCGCAGCAAAGCGCGGTCAGACCAGATATTGACGATCGAAGTGCTGAATGTTAGGCCAATAAACGTGAGGACCGCCCACGGGCCTGAGCCGTAGAAATTCTTGATGTAGCCTGGAAGAATCTCATTGGCTTTCTTGCGCTCAATGGGAGACTTAGTAAAGAGGGTGAGGAAGAAACTTTGGTCACGGGCGAACCAGAGTGTGATGCTTGATGAGACGAGGGGAGCTGTTAAGAGGAGGACTCTGGGGTTGAAAAACGCTCCAGAAGCCATTTTGATGCAATTGAATTGATGAAAGGGTACAAGACTGAGATCAACTGAGCTGTGAGCCTTGATACTCCACGAGAGGGTTTTCCCCAACTTCAAGGTCGGTTTTATATAAATTAGTCTTGAGAGTAAAAGCCTCCGAAAAACATTGACTTTATGCGACCCTGGGATGTTAGTGTTGCTTCTCTGATCATGACGATCCTTCAAACCCTCCACAGGCGCTAGCTTTTTACAACGCCAAACCCTCCGACTCTGCAGAAAATGACAACCGAATAATTTCGAAAGATCAGCCTTGTCATACGATGTCGGAAAATTCTGGATTCACGTTTCCTGATTATTTTCTTGGGCCAAGGAATCATAAATTTCATCATTTTTTAGTAATCGTTGCTAATAAGGTATAGTCTACTGCCTATAATCTACTCGACTTCCAACCTGAGTGCATCATACTGAACATACACCGATGTTGGCAACACAGCGGACTCATAGTTGGTAGCATTATAAGGCAAGCTCAGGATGATCTCATTGTCACCCTTCTTCAGCAGCTTGGCATCGAACTCGAATTTGTGAGCGATATTGTAGCAGCTCACTGAGGAGCGAACAGCACAGGAGCTGCTGTGGTCGTAACTTAAAAAGGGTCAGTATAGCTCATCTTTGAGAGATCCGGGTTCGACTTACGGAATGACCCAAGGCTCGAGATCTTTGCCGTTTATATTCACGGTATACTTTAGGTTGGAGTGAGGCTCAGAAGCATTGTAGATATCCGTGTTTCCAGCAGCAGTCTTGGCACCCGCAAGTTGAACGGTAAAAGTTGCATGCTTCTTGTGCTTGACCTGCGACTCCTTCAGATCGAAGGCAATCGTCCAGTTGTTGACATTGCCGTCGCCAACGTACTGCTCTGGACGTACGGAGTTGCCTTTTCCTCCAAAAACACTCCAGTGGACGTAGTTGAGATCCTTGCCGACATCGCTCTCACCAACCTTGAAGTTGACACCCTCAGGGAAGTCCTTGATAAAGTCCCAGTTGGCCCAGTAGATACGGTATTGTTCCGGCTGCAGCGGCTTGGATGTATCGGGCTCGAAACCATGGCGGTATTCACCAGAGGTCTTGTCAGGAGTACCAATTCGCCAGAGTTCCTTGCCTGCGGACTCTTCCCTCCAGCGGACATTCTTCTTCTCTGTCTTGCCAGCCTTGATCTTGACCTTATCCTGGGTGTATTGTCCAAAGATGTTATCGGCATAGACGGTGAGACGATATGTTCCAGACTTGACTCGAGGAATAGTTGCACGACCGCTCTCATCAAGATTAGCCCAGTACTGGTAAGCCTTTGTGTCGAAGACATTGTCTTGGAAGTCCACGCCGCTCTGTGCGAGAACAGCAATGGCATTCTTAGCCCCCTTGGGAAGATCGACCTTGACCTCGAAGGACCCTCGTGATTTCGTTGGTACGTAGTTAGGAACGTGCTTCGCAATTGAATCGTAGAAATCGGCATTCCACTCAGGGTCGGCGTATTGAGCTGCATCGGCCTGGGCTTTCAAGATGTCGGTCTCTCCAGGGAAGCGGTTGAAGTGGAAGTATTGCTAAGAGAAGTTAGAGAATTGATATGCTAACTGCTTCGGATAGACTTACAGGTCCGAATGTCCGGTCAAATCCGTTGGTAATATTGGGCTGAACAGGTTAGTTCTAGTCTTGTTAGAGAAGTAAGTGGACTGACCGTTTGATCTCCATGATGATTAGAGCTAATATAGTTGTAAAGAATACCATCAACAACCAAATCTGAATGTAAGGGGCCACCAAAGTAAGTGTCTTTGGTGTTCATAACAAGCCAAGCACCATATGCATCTCCATCTTCGGTCTTGGAACCATCAGCGAACCTTTTGCCTGTCAGTTAAATATCCCACAATACCGAGACGCATAATACTCACAATCCATAAGCATCAACATCACGCCAGCTGTCTTGGAACGTATACTTGGTGAAGTAGTCCGCTTCCTGCTTGACATAGGGATCATTAGGTGTGTTTCCTAGATACCATGTAGCATCTTGCACCACAACCTGCTTCTCCTTTGCTTCCTTGCCTGGGAGAGGCGCATATTGCTTCGTGTTGGTCAGGAGATGAGTCCACATGTCGTTGTTCGGTCGGAAGAGGGTTCGAAGCTCCTGAAGGTTGCGAAGGAAGGGCTGCTCCTCGTTATGATACGCGACTCGGCTGAAGGTATGGAGGCCAGTTTCTCCATCTCTCAAGAACCAGTATTGCTCCAGAACCTGACCTGTCTCGGTGTACGTGTCGGACATGACGATGCCGCCATAGTCCTTGCCCTTGCCATCTTTACCCTTAAAGAGTTTGTACTTGGGGGCCACAGAACCCGGCGTCCAGAATCCCTTAGGCGTGCAGTAACAATCAAGGTAAGGTCCAATGCCTGTAGATCCAGATGGGTTACCGAGAAGGTTCGTTCCGTCAAGAGTGAGCTTTACAATGGCGCCGCCCTTCTTTTGAACAGCCGCATATAGTCGGTCGTTTGAAATCACCAACTGTGTATCGGTCTCGGTCGCATTGAGAGCTGCCGCTACCAATTGAGGTGCCTGGAGCAGCGAAACGAGAAAAGCTGCCGAAAGCTTGCGGAACTTCATAGTCAAGACTGCAATGGGTGTAAGTGGCAGAAGCTATCGACCAACAACTCCAGGGCGATCAATGCGACCTCAGCTCTCTTTATAACTACAGAAATCACCCTTGAACCCACAAACAACCCCCAACAACCTTGTGGGGGATGAAGCTTTCATGAGAAGGTGAAGGGTAGCTTGGTCATGTATTTCCCCATGGGGACGTTGTCGATCACATCTTTTCAGGCTAAGACCGAACTTTGGCAAATTGTTCGGGAGAAATAAAAACCCCTTGCTCTCGGGTTTCGGGTCAACGATCAGCGAATATCAGGGGAAAGCTAGCTTCACGCAGGCAAATGACCTTGTAAACCTGGTCAACACCATGGCGATTCTCCAAAGGTTGACAGTTCGTGACGTTTACCCCGCAAATCAGCCCGAATTGGTCACATTTCCGAAATGCGGAGGGAGATGAGATCCCGGTGATTCCACGTATTGGAGCTGGGGCCTCCCCCAACGATGGTCTTAGCATTGGACGGTTGGCATCATGAGGCAGTTGAATAAGATTAATTCGCCAAGCACTGAGGGCTGTGCTCTGGTAGTGTCTTGGTATTGTAAATATGCCTCTCGTAATCCAAAAACTGCTCATTGACGGCTCACTGAGTCTAACTGTATAACCACTAACTCTGCACAATTTCGCTGTTTAATCCTCGTCGTCGTCAGGTTCGACTCTTGGTCGTTTGGATTGTCTGTTGTCTTCATCCTGCAAGCCAAAACCTCGCTTAGATGATGAATTCTGGTCCACCTCAGATAGAAACTTGTCAACGTTGAAAGGATCTCCAGCATCCTTCTCGAACTGAACTGGTCCTTCTCGTGCCTGTGTTGAGCTTGTTAGCAAAGTTTTAGATGGCGCTATGTAAAAATGGAAACTGACCTCGGCGTCTGCGGCACCTTTGAAAGTCCCCTTACCAAGGGCTTCACCAAAACGACTGCTCTTCTGGATCTTGGCCATTTCCCGGTCACCGGCCTCGCCATCGTCGTCGTCATCCACATTCGCTCGTGGCCGGTAAATACTGTTGATGGCGTCCTGGGCAGCGAAGAGAGGCTTGTCGTAAGGGTTATCCTCGTTAATACCACTATCGAATCCGCTTGTTTGGTTGAAAAGTCTCGAGTCATACATCGTCTCCTTTGATTGTGTGGGTTTGGCCAGGCCTAGAGCAATCTTCTCAGATATATCTCTTCCTTGTTCACGCGCCATAACTTGAGCTCGGCGTTCAGCACCCATGCGGTTTTGTCGTAGCTTTCGCTCTTCTTCCCTCTGTTTCTCTTGTCGCGCTTTAACACGCTCTCTGACTTCTTCATCTTCACTGTCAGAGCGATCTGACTCGGAGTAACTGTAGCTTCGCGATCGTGACCTCGAGTCCCTCGAGTCCCCAGAGTCACGAGAATCTCGACGCCCACGACCAGCAGCAGCCCGGTCTGCTCGAGCCTTTTGGGCTAATTCTCGAAGGGTATCCTCTTTTTGTAATTTTTCCTTCTCCGCCAGGCGCTGTTGCATCATGGCACGTTTCTGAACCTCATCACGAGCATGACGCTCGGCCATCTTTAAACCTTCGGCAAATCGGGCATGCCCGTCGCTAATGGCTATATCCTGTAAGCCTCGTCCATCAGCAGCCAGACGTTTATCCAATGGTACTGTGAATCCCTTGGGGTTCTTCCAGTTCGAAATTGGGGGAGGAATCCTCCACATTTCTTGGTCTTCAGCGGTGAGCTTCCGTGGTGGTGAGTGCATAACTGGTGGCGGCGGCGAAGGTGGTCCTCGAGGAATCTTCTTATGCTTGAACTTGGGTGGTTCCATGGGATCTCTTTGGCGCTCGACAATTTTCATGATGCGGTCCTGCTTCTTGGAGTTGTCGCCCATCTGGTTTGCCGGTGTATATCGGACAAATGTAGCATCTTTTCGTTGCCCAATATTAACATTTTTCGGTTTCTGAGCTGCGACCGCTCCCGAGACCAATGCAGCTAATGCGTTCTTCGTCCTCTCTGTTGTTGCCTCCACAGACTCCTTATCGGGTCGCGAAAGATCGATCTCGCCCGCGTCGGCGCGTTGTCGAAGAGGGATCAATTCCTTGAACGAAGTGTGAACGATACGATTTTCGCTGTGTCCTTGTCGCGCGATGGCGTCGTATTTGACCTTGCCTTCGGAATCAACCTGAATAGCCAACGCGTTGCTAGAATTTCCTCCTTTCTTTCCCATCTCTAACGGATACTGAGCGATCGGAATTTCGGGGAAAGCACCTCCATCGCCAAAGTCCTCCTGCGATCGAGGGCGCCATCCTGAGCGCTGGCCGTATGCTGGAGGACCAGATCGCTTGAGGACCAGCTGGGTTTCGTCAAGTTGTCCGGGACCAACAATTCGCACACCGCGTTGTTGAGCTCGTACCGGGGGTTCTTCATCTTCGCCTGTGTATTTTGGCTTGGGCAGCGCAGCCTGAAGCGACCCGGCGATTGATGCCATTTTGTGTTTGTGGGAATGAAGTTGTTTGGATCATTCGTCAGTCGCGAGGCTTCAAGGTTTAGAATTTCAAGAGGCGACGGCTCTTAAAAAGGTTTAGCGCATAGAGTAGCTTGGTGCCACACCAAGATTCGCTGGTGCATCAACCAACCTTGAAAAGCAATGTTCAAATTCGATAGAAGATTGACAATAGGAAAAATTACTAAACTTTTAGAGATTACGAAGCGTATAACTCATACTCCAGCTGCCCAGGGGTAATGCACCTGCAGGCGGTGTTTATACTGCTTGGTCAAGGCGCCTTTTCTGATGTTAACTTTTGGAAGTTGGCCTCCGCTACAATACGGAGTAGGGGCCTCACTGTTCAAGCCTTTGTTTGGAAGTTAAGAGCTTGACGGCCGCGTACAAGACTGACAGCAAGGTTTTTTCCTTTCTTTTTAAATGAAAAAATAAATAGATTAAAATAAAAAACTCGCACTCGAAGACTGAACCGAGTCTCTTCGACTGAAGTTGGGGCAAGCTCGCAGTAGAGTAACGTAATTGGCCGTTGAAGCTTTGCAATCAGGCAGCTCCTGGAACCACGTGAAAGACCTCATCTGCCTGTGCAGTTCAAGCGTTCGGGTAGGATCTGAACTTTGATTTACATATACAACGCTAACTTGGCCCATTCTATGTTTAATCACATATTTCTTAATCTTTACTATGCAAGTCTAAGAAATATAGATATCTCCTTGCTATTTATGGTAGGAATGGCTGAGGCCACCGAAAATTCAGGGGGTTCCTACTGTACTGAAAAGCATGGAGCTATTAGAGCCACCCAGAAACGTCATAGCTCATTGGTTGGGCAAATACTGGCCAGGTTACTTCAAGTGCATGAAACTGATCAGGAGATTTGGATGTTGACAGTAGAAGTCACCAGAGAACTCCAATTTACATGGAGGACATCGGATATTCATAAATGCAAAGTGCGACAGCTTCATGTCATTTCATTAACTGCCAGGCCAAGCAAAAGCGTATCATGACAACTATCATCTCAGTATCGCAAATCTGTAAAGTCAACCCAAATACCAGACTCTCAAGACAGTTCAAGCGCTCTGCTTCCGCTGATTATACGTAACACTTCCGATATCCATCTCCTTTTGATTTCGCGCCTCGTAACACCCTGTTCCGTCGTAGTATATGATACAGCGATTTCCTTATACGTAGCCCTTGCGCGCACCCTTATCATGTAGTTAGCCAGTATTCCGCCGACATTCATACACACAAGGAGGACTTACCTGGAAAAAGAATCGAACAACAAACACCTGTAGAGCACCCATGCAGATAATCAGACCGATCTGGATCATGCTGAAGTTGATGATTCGGCCCTCAGTGCTGTTGACGGTGGCAAAGTTACGGTTTTCACGAGTTCGGAAGTACTTCTGGTTTCGGGAAATGGTCGAAAGCTGGCCAGACACCTTGAAGATGGAGTCCTCAAGGATCGAAGTCTGTTCGGGGGTAGTGCCCTGCTTGGAAGGCAGTTGGGCGCGGGACTCGTTCTCGACGGCAATCTCGAAATCGACGAACTTCTCGGCGAATGTACTCATCTCGTTATCGAAGCAGAAAGAGTAGTCGCCGACAACATTGGCGGAGAAGACAAAGTCACCTTGTCGCTCCTTTTGACCATCCATGATGATCTTGCCATTGGGACCCTCGACGACGTAGTCGACATCAAAAGAGCCACCGGATTGGACCTGTAGTTCATGTTAAACTTCATGTTCGGTGAGTGACTTGCATTCGAGGAGGCTCACAGCAAAGTAGAATGCGATCTTCTCCCCCTGCTTTTTCGTGGTGGTATGGAAACAGGCCTTCTCGTTGGCATCGAGCTTGTATGTCAAAGCAGTAGCAGTGACATTGGTTACCAGGCCGGCGAAAAGCCCAGCGACAAGAGTTGATAGTCTCATTGTTGCGGCTTTGTATAGGATGTTGTCGCGTGCTGTTCAGGACAAGCTGTCGCTAAAGTGGACATGTGTCGGAGCCAACGACCCCTGTTCCTGATTGAACAGTTGACATCACGTGATTGAACTATGTCTCCTGTCCTGGCGCTAGGGAGGCACTTGTATCAGATTATTGGTAGCGAGCCGCTCATTGGATGTCGGTATGTTGTATCTCTCTTTTGTAATGATATAGCTATCTCTAGGTAGTGATAGTTATTACTTCGTAGGTAACTGCTGTTTTTATTTCTTCGCCAGCTATCTGAAGCTTTTCCTGCCACCACTATTTTCCCCCACCGCTTTTGTTCTCAACTCACGCTTCCATAGCAACTTTCTTCTTTAAATCTTCCTCCCCTCCACCTCTGTTGCCCCCTTGTAATCACTCGGCCTATTCTCTTCCAGACGTGAGATGTCTCATGCCTTGAGAATCTTGACTACCTCGGCAACGATGGCATCTCCTGCTTCAGCGGTGCCTGTGCTGCCGCCCATATCCTTGGTTCTTAGCCCGGCGTCGATGGCAGCGCTTACCGCATCCTCAACGACTTTGGCCTCGTGGGGAAGATTCAGAGAGTACCGTAACATCATAGCCACGGAAAGGATTGTGCCAATGGGATTCTAAATATAATGTCAGCTCTGTACTTGCAGATGAATAGGAACCGTCCGAAACAGGGTTTTAACGTACGACAATCCCCTTTCCTGAAATGTCCGGCGCGCTACCTGTTATCTGAGTTAGCCACTGATACCTTGAAGGGCTCAAGTGGAGGCTGGGAGTCTTACCATGAATAGGCTCATAGATAGAAAGCACTTTGGAGCCCACTTCCGGAACCCCGCAGAGACTCGCGCTCGGGAGGAGCCCAATGCTGCCAGTTATAGCGCTCGCCTCGTCGCTCAGAATATCTCCTAAAAGCTCATCAGCCAAACCGACTATGAGGAGGTCGAAGGACCTTGCTTACCTGCCAAGTTTGGCGCTATCATAACGCCATTGAGCTGCTTAGGGTTCTTGACCATGATCATGGCCGCGCTGTCAATGAGCTGATGCTCAACCTTCAGATCAGGGAACTCGTTTTTATAAACCTCGTCAACCACAGAACGCCAGAGTCTGCTCGTCGCCAACACATTTGCCTTATCTAGCGAGATGACCCGCGAGTCTCCCCTAGTCTTGGCTAGGTAGCCGCCCAGCCGTGCGATACGCTCGATTTCTGGCTTCGTATAAACAGTAGTGTCGAACGCGTTGACTCCATCGTACTCTTTTCGCTCTCCGAAATACAGGCCCGAGGTTAACTCTCGGACAAGCATCATGTCGACGCCACGGCAAACTTCCGCCTTTAGGGGGGAGGTCTCAACAAGGGCATCGGACGCGAAGAAGCAGGGACGGAGGTTTCCATAGGCGCACATCTCACTGCGTAGCTTCAGAAGGCCCTGCTCCGGGCGAACGGTGCCAGTGCCCCATTCAGGGCCGCCAATGGCACCGAGGAGCACAGCGTCGGAGGCTTTGGCGGCGGCGAGGGCCTCGTCTGTAAGAGGGGAGCCGGTCTTGTCGATAGAACACTGGAGAGAAAAACAGATGTCAGCAAAAGACTTCTCTCATGTGTGTCGTGGGATCCGAGTGAACCGCCATCCGGGTACGACTTACTCCTCCGAGCAGCAGGTGATTCAAGTTGAATTTGCCAGCAGTTGGGCTATTGTCCTCAACCGCCTTGATGACCTATATTCTGCGTTAGACGTGCCCACGTGCAGGTCGAAAAAATCGAAAAATACTAGACTCATACTTTAATTGCTTCGGCAATAACCTGCAAAATAACCAAAGTCAGCCTCTCTCCGTCTAGAGACAAGGGGGGGAAAGCTCGCGGGTAGCTTACCTCTGGGCCACAGTGGTCGCCCGCAAAGACAACAATGTTGTGTTCCGCCATGGTTGCTATACTTATCTGGGAGGAGAATCCGTTTTATGTGACGAAGTAGGAGAGTAATTGGTTAGAAAAGGAAGTGAGGAAATTGAAGAATAAATTCGACGAGATATATCGCTGAGCTTCCCTTACCCTCAGCCCCGCTACACAACTGCCGAGATCGGAGAGCCCGGAGGGGCATTGAAATCATGGCTGTAGCACAAGCTGCCATAAGGCGGCGGGGAGGAATCCACTCCCGTGTGGCTGAAAGACCCCTCCAGCTGGTCCGGGTAGGGGAGCTGTTTAGCCACAGTCTAGCCACATACGAGCTTATGAGCCAATACGAGCCAAGGTAATGTTACAGGACAAGGTCATCTAAGACCATGACCTCACCCCCTTGTAAGGTAGTCCTTCATAAACAAAGCTTCAGGTAAAACGGGGCTGTTTTCTTGATAAATAAATAACTTGCTCCTCATGACGCGTTGAGTTGCTGATATACAAACTTCCATCTTTCGTTCTTCTTGACTCTCCTTAATTCCACCTCAAATTTTAGAGCTGTCTTGTGTTACACGCCCCGTCTCATCCCTGCTTTCGCGAACTCCCCCTTATTGTTTTGGTGTCTCCTTTTAGAAGGAGTCGTCATCATGGCTATTCAGACGAAGGCCGCAAAGCTGTCCTCAGTCGCTCTGAGGATAAGCAATCTCATATTCTTTAGACTTGTAAGTGGCTCAAACTTGCTAACACGAGAAAGTGCTGACCATAGACTATAGTTCCCAGTAAGCTGAAGCTCAAGAAGCTTTAATCTCACCAATTAACCGAATCCTCCAGGCACACTTCCCTACCATCGCGTTTGCGTTTTTCGCAATCTATGTTCCTTCTTACATTTCGAGTTACTTCGCTCAGCCAGAGATTGGAGTTCTCGAGGATGAAGTCGACGTCACTGTGAAAGAGTCTGCAGTCACCTCTGAAACTCCCTTATTAACAGAGGACGGTGTCGCAGTCGCACCTGAGGCTGAGGTTGTCGCCGAGGTTGTCGACATTGAGGAGAAGCTTACTGTTGGAGAGAAGGTTCCCAGCATCGTAAACATCCTCTTGTCCGGAGCTCCCAGTGCCAGGCGCCCAATTGCGTCGTTCTTGACCTTCCTCATCAATGCCATTCTTATCGGCTTGACGGCTGATGCCTTGTTTCGTGCAAGGTGGTATTATCCTTCTGATGATCTTTCTTTCGTCAGACTTGGATATGTGTCGCCATCAGAGGCGAGGTTCGTTATTCGCGAACCCGATCAGTTGCAAATGCCCATCACATTCGAATATCACATCAAGGATGATGAGCCAACCTATGACACCAAGATGTGGCTCACTGCAGGCTACGTCACTTCGACTGACAACATCACCGATTTTACTACAACTCTTACAGTGCCTCTTGACTCCGCGAAACAGAGCATCTACGAGTGGAGGACTTCCAACAACCACACCGGCGAGTTCCGCTCTGCTCCCAAGGTTGGAGAGATGCCAAACACCAAGGACGGCCTTTTTACCTTCCTGTCCACGTCTTGCATTCTTCCCCGATTTCCCTACAACCCTATGGAGCATGCTTTGGCTATCCCCGGCCTGAGGAATCTTGCAAGTCTGCTTCCTAAGCTGGATCCTCAGTTCATGCTCTTCCTTGGCGACTTCATCTATGTTGACGTCCCTGAACGTTTTGGGAAAACGATTGACGAGTACCGCATGCAATACCGCCAAATATATGCCTCACCTGACTGGGCCCCTGTTGCACAGAATCTGAGCTGGATTCACGTGCTCGATGACCATGAGATCTCCAACGATTGGTCTTCCAACACAACTGGCATCTACAGCGCGGCTGTTGACCCTTGGCACATCTACCAGGCCAACGTCAACCCACCGATTTCCAAAGCTGCAGGTCCTCTCAACCTGAGACGCAATGCCACATGGTACGAGTTCACCCAAGGACCAGCCAGCTTTTTTATGATGGATACTCGCAGCTATCGTTCCAGCAACAACGCCCCCTTCAATGCCACGGACAAGACCATGCTAGGAAAGGAGCAGTTGGCTGACCTTCTGGCATGGTTGGAGCGTCCTGTTCCTCAAGGAGTTCGATGGAAGTTCATTGCTTCTTCTGTTCCTTTCACTAAGAACTGGCCTATCAATGTGAAGGATACCTGGGGTGGTTTCCTTGCCGAGAGAAAGCAAGTCCTAGAAGCTATGTGGGATTCTGGTGCTCAAGGCGCCAGTGTCGTTATCCTCTCTGGAGATCGTCATGAATTCGCCGCAACCAGATTTCCACCCCCCACTGACTCGCGATGGCCACAGTCCGCTGCTGCTCACGAGTTTTCGACAAGTCCTTTGAACCAATTCGCTTCTCCATTCCCAACATATAAGCAGACAGATGATGATATTATGATGAAGTAAGTTCATGCTCCATTGATTAAGGCATAGCCACTAACAAATACCAAGGTATATCCCTGGAGGCAAGTCGAAGTTCGGATCCTTTTCTATTGAGAAACTTGAGAACGGAGGGAGCTCACTGCACTACACCCTTTATATCGACGGAAAGGAAACCTGGAAGACAACAGTGGAGGCTCCGGATGCGCCTGAAGCAGTTCCTGTTGAGACGGTCGTACCCCCATCACTGTGGGACAAGCTCAGCAAGTTCTTTTAGAAGCTAGATCTTTACACAAGAGGCGGGACCAATATTCAGTTTTGGAAAACTATAGCACTATTTAATTGCACTCTTCACCTTGAATCTCTTCCTCGACCCTAAACCAGGACATAAACAATTCCATAGAGTAATACTTGCTACTCTCTGAGATACGGCCCCACTAACTTAGCATCGGCCCCACTGTCCATCCACAGAAGCTTAGCTCACCGCCCAGGCCCACCCCTCCACTGGCCAGAAAATTTCCCCGGCAAAATTCTCAAAAGTTTGACGTCCAATTCAGATCCGCGACGATTTGCTCTGGAAGCATTGAATGTCCCAGCTTCATCAACTCCACACAAATATCTCACAATGGCCGGACCTGGAAACAAAAAGAAGAGGCAACACGATGGTCGTCTACAAAGGCCCAC